AAACTTGATGAGAGAGAGTAACTAAAAGACTTTGTGGTTGAACCCATAGGAGCATGGTTAATAAAGTCAACTGCTGTGGTTATATATCTAAATCCCACACAGATAATAGTTGGATATATATATATATACTAGAAAAAAAACATTTATATAGAGGTGGACAGTGCAGCCGTCTATGCCAAATGGTCATTGTTGATCGGCTCAGCCACTTCCAGAGGCGAGTGACCCAAAAAAAAACGTCTTCAAGGGTTCAAACCCAATGACCTTTAGCATATATAACACATCTCTACCACTAGACTATGCACTCATTTGTGAGTATGTATACATAGCTATTTTTTTAATGTATCGAATATTTTAGCTTCTAAATGATTTTAAATGAAATAGTTTCGACTATAAAGTTTTAAATCTTGTTAAGCACAACAACTTTGATATAGAATGAGAAATTGTTTGAAAATTTCAAAAAATGGAATATCAAAATATGTGAATTTAAAACTAACATTGGAGACTCTAAGGAATTTTAAATAAAAAAACTTATCAACAACAAACTTGTAGATCAGATCGACCACTACAACTTTGATATTAACCATGTAAACACTTAAGGTTGTTTGAAATTCAAAATCTCAAACCTTAAAACAAATATTTAGAACTCTAAACAACTTCAAATAAAAAACTTTTCAACTACAAACCGTATTGAGAACTATAACTTTGGTATAGGTCATGTCAACACATCCAGGATTGTTTGACAATTTTGAATTTTAAATTTCAAAATTTATGAACTTAAAATAATATTTCGGGACTCTAAACAGTTTCAAGTAAAAACTTCTCAACTACAAACTTATAGTTCACGTCGAGGTCTATAAATTTGATACAAAGTTTGTCTTCATCCGACTTCATACGTAAAAGTTATGAATTATTTTTCTTGTTTTTAGAGATGGACCTCTTAAGATGTTCGTCTCTATTAATCGATTTTCAGAAATGGACCCGTAGAATGTCCGTCTCTGTTAATAGTGATTTGTAGACGAACGTCCTAAGATAATCGTCCCTATAAATCGATGATTAAAAGAGATGGTCATCTTAGGATGCTCGCCTCTATAAATGATTAATAGAGGTGGTCCTCAAATATGTGTGTCTGTTTTAATTAGGGAGGTTGTCTCCTGAAATCCTTTTTAGTAGTGATACACACTATATTATTAATATCTAACCCACCATGTTCTCCCAACTCGTTTATTTTCTCTCCTCTCCTCTCTCTCTCCTCCACGTCGTCAGCACAAATATGCAGCCTATTCACTGTATACGATCGTGGATTATAAGCTGGAACAGTATTTTTCTGTCACACTAAATTAGGCCAGCAGTAAATAATACACGATCGTTTATGACGAAACGAACCGGCTGATGGTGTAGATCCTGTTCTCTTCTCTCATCTCTCCCTCTAAATCAGTACAAATTTGATGCGGCATATCTTCTACAAGCGGCTTTTACGTAATGGAGCTTCAGATTTTGTGGTCCTTGATTTGATTATTAATTAGGTTCTTCGCTTGACATGCAAGCTAGCTACTAGTACTCCGTCGTCCCAAGTTTATTCTCTAAGTCACCTTAAGTTTAACCAAATTCACAAAGAAAACTTCGACTATATTCAAAAGGTGAATTATGAAAATATATTTCATGATAATAATATATGTGATTATGCTAATTTAATATCATATTGTATTATTATTATTATTATTATTATTATTATTATTATTATTATTATTATTATTATTATTATTATTATTATTATCATCATCATCATCATCATCATCATCATCATCATCATCATCATTATTATTATTATTATTATTATTATTTGAAATGTTCTTTGAATTTCCCTAAATTTGTGTTGTCTCCTTTCAGTTCATGCGTCATCCGAGTTGATTATTCTTACATTGTCGGAAAGACAGAAAGAAAAGCAAGCAAGCTGAAATTTGCGTAGCTGCCGATTCCTTTTATTCGATGAAGCATGCAGAACAAGAATCTCTCACCTTTTTAGTTAACACATCACCTCAACACAAGGAAAAGCTAAGTTGATGTTCGACTCCCCTCATCTTCTTGGCCTTTAACCCTCTGGAACGACCGAACGAACGTACTACTAGTCTAGAACTGACTTGGCGAAGGAAGAGCTATAGCTAGAAAACTAAAATGGGAGAAGTCATTTCGGAGCAGCAAAGCATACGTGCTACTTTATTACGTTCGTTACGTGCGTGGTATGCCTATATATTGGGCATGTCGCTGCACCGGCCGGCTACCATTCACCAATGCAATCTAGCTACAATCTGGGTTGACAGTTGACACACAGCTTGGCTACTAATAAGCTTCCACACGTACGAGAACACAGAAGCCAGCAGCAGCTAATAAGATCGTCGCCGTCCTATGGACAGCAACACCAACAGCTCGCAGCCTCCCCCGGGTGAGGATCTCAATTCTCAACTGAACCAGATACTGAGAATACATACACATACACTGCACTGGCCGGGTTCTTCTTCGAGTATATGCATGTCGTATTCATACGGTCATACCATATCGATCGTCATGGCTTCAATTTGTGCTCAATGAATAATATCACCAATATAGGCTACCCGAGGGTGGACGCTGAGCAGCAGGGCGGCGGCAAGAAGAAGAAGAAGGGGTGCTGCGGGCCGCGGCGCCGCGCGACGTCGTCGACGACGACCAAGCGCGGCGAGGCGAGCTTCATCGAGGGATGGTGCGTTCGACGACGTCTCTTTTAATTTCAGTCGTTCATCAGTTCCATTCTTTCGTGCGATTAATCTTGGCTGGCTGGCTGGCTAACGCGCTTCCCATTTTGTTTGCCCCTACTTTGCTTTTGCATGTGGTGGCTGCTGCGACCGTCAATGATCTCCATCCATCAGCATCGCTGCGCTCTGCTGCTGCTGGCTCTGCGAGCTCTGCTGCGATTAATGACGACTAGCTCATGCTCATCGAAGATCGCCGTGCACCGGCAAGCAAGCAAGTTAATCTATATATTTAGTTTGGTCGATCGTGAAGAGATTAATCTCGATGCTCGTAGGATGGTTGCTCATGATGTAATGCGTTGTACTTTATTACTCTGTGTTTCTCTGGTATGATCCCTGGAACAGACAATCTATATGAATGTTAATACATGACATCAATACTAATATATATATAGGCTTTGTGTTTGTGAGGTCACAGACTCTGGGTGCTGGCTCCAGGCTGAGATACTAGTTTGCTGCCAACCTCAAGCTGTGCACCGCTTTGATCTCATTTAGCTCCAGTTTGGCATGGCTCTGGTTTCTTCGGAATGGGTGTTGACTCTAGCTACTTTTGTGGAGGGGCTTAAGAGGCAGTTTTGTTATAATTTATGCCAAGTTTATGATTAGGAGCCAAGAGAAGCTACATTTTTGCAGCTCGGCCTCTTTGGTGGTTGAACACTCTGTCTCTTCCAGGCATCTTCATAAAAAGCTGTTTCTTGAATGACCGTTTAGCAGAATTTCGCCCAGAGCAGAGTCGGAGCCAGTGCCGCTCTAGAACCCTTGCCAAGCGAGTCCTTTTATGCAATAGACTAAATTAGACATTTCTCTCTACTCCCTCCATTTAAAAGACATACAACTATAGTGCTAGGTCAACAATCTGACCAAAATTTACAATTTACACTGTTATTTATGATATTATCAAATAAAGATATTTAGATTTTTCATGAAATATATTTTTAAGCATGTGTATTTAGAATTAAAATTGTTGATATTGTTTCTTATAAATTTAGTTAAACTTAAAATTGTTTGTCTTGGACAAGTTCTAGAAATGCATTCTCTTTAGTACGGAGAGAGTAGAATATATATGAATGAATATAGACATGAGATATTCATTTGTATCAAAAATTATAATTGGACCCTAAGGATAGGATTGCTATTCATTGTGTTGCAACACCCTCACATCGCAAAATGTCAAATAATTAGACCTCAAAAAGGGATGCCAAGGAATATTTAATGTGTTTCCTCCATTATAAGAGGGTCACTGGAAAATGATTTACCAAGGAGGCAAGGATTAAGCGTGATCTGCTAATGCTGCTCAAATCCGAAGTGCTAGCATCCGGACGTCCAGACAGACGCCGCGTCCGGACGACCACGTTGTACTCCGTCTCCCGCGCGCCAGCACGTCTCCACCAGCGTGCCCCTGGACGTCTCCTGCGCCGCCCGTGCCGTCAGACTGCGCGGAGACCGCTCGTGCCCCCTCCCGCTTCCCACGTGCGTCCACATATGCAACACCCGATCTATTTTTGAAATATCAAGATATAACATTTGCCACATACGTCTGAAGACAGATGAAACACTTGAAACATGCTTCTGAAACACTTGCAAAAGCACCTGGAAAACACTTGAAAAAACATTGCAAAACATACGCAATATCTAGATAAAACACTTGCAGCATATGTGTCAAACGTATGCAACATCTAGATAAACACACTTGCAACATACGTCTGAAAAAACAGATGAAACATAGGGAACAAAAGCTTGCAACATACGTGTACAACTATTGCAACATATGCAACATCTCGATCTGCTTTTGCAACATCCGCATAAAACAATTGCAACATACCTCTGAAACATCTGAAATGTACACTTGCAACATGCGCTTTCAGCGCAACATCTCTTTACTGCTTGGGAGAAATGAAGGATCATCGGCATTTGAAGTTCATCGGTGTAGAGCTCGCCGGTGGCGCGGAGCGACCGGCCAGAGGGACATGATGCAGTCGAGCACATCACAGCCACGCTCTGCGCCCCGCCATAGGCCCCTTGAGGCGTCATGAGAACGGGATCTAGATCCGCACGGGGGGAGGGTGCCCGCCGCCGCCACCATCGATGGGAGAGGGGAGGTGGCTTGCTGTCACCGCCATCATTGAGGAGGAAGAAAGGGAATTGTGACAGAATCCATAGGTGAGGAGGAAGCGCCGCCGGAGGGGGAGGAGAGGGAGTGTTGCCGTCGGGAGAGGAATGGCCACCACGGCCGCTGTCAGAATGGGACAGGGCGTCGCGGACGTCGTCGGGATCGGGCAGGGCACCGCGGTCGCCATCGGGATAGGGAATGGCATATCGGCACCTCTGCGGCGGGCTGTGGCCTCTCGGCCTCAGTCGCGTGCGGTGGAGAGAACCTTATCCTTCTGTCTGGATAATGGAGGTAGCAGGATAAGGTTAGAGACGTTATTGGACCATTGGGTTGGTGCCGCAGCGCACGAACATAACCGTCCGGACGATCGGATGCCCTGACCTGAGAATTTCCGAAAAATTAAATGTCCCTTGTATCAAAAGAGTGGTATTTTCCATGTGGACACGGGCCTCTAGATCCAACGAGGAAATAGGCCGAATTTTAAGGCCCATATCCTTCGACAAGGAGAACAACTAGCCCAGTCCTCTTCTGATCTCATCAAGAAAAGGGAAAACGGAGCCCAATCCAACCGGCCCAGCGCAGACCAACACGGACACGGTTCGAGCCGCCAGATTCCCATCCGACGCCCTAAAATAGATTCACTGACGTGCACCCTGACGGTGACGTGGCGAAGGCTACTACCACAATATCGAACATCGGCGGGGTCCTTGTCCGAAAAAAACACGAGCGGAGAACGCCGCAGGCTCGCTGTCGTTGTGCTTCCTCTTCGTCCACTTCCCTCCCTGTTCGTGACACGTGATTTCGCCGCCGGAAATCCGAGGGAGAGGGAGCGAGATGGGGTTCGTCGGCGACACGATGGAGTCGATCCGCTCCATGCAGATCCGCCAACTGCTCACGCAGATCATCAGCCTCGGTGACGCCCTCTACCGCAGTCTCCTCTTTTTCTCCCCCCTGATTGTTTTTTCTTCTTGAGGTCTTTGGCAGCCAGATTAGTGCGTCGGGAGCCCTGTAGTTCTTGGGTTTGTGGTGAGGTCTTTGCCATGCGAGTCTAGCACGATTTTAATGAGCGGGACAAGTCTTTTTTTTTTAATTTCCGGTGGGTTTTGGCCGTAAGATTGGAGGAAGAGACTTCTCCAGATTCTCTAGATTCCAGTGAGTTTTGTCCGTAAGTTATTCCTCTTAAGAATCATGAGAATGTGAAGAATAGAACAGTAGTCGAATTGGGTGTGACAGCCTTAGAGAACTGGATTGTGTTTTTTTCTTCATCTCTCTTATTATTTGGAGCGTGAATAATGATGCTTATGCTCTCTTGAAGAATTGATTAAGTTTCTTGTGGGTTTCCCTAGACGCTAGTTTTCGCTAATTGCAATTCAGGTTTGTAGAATTCTGATATTCAAGAGGGGTAGCGTTGTAAGTGTATCAGTTAGCATTAGCAAGACTGTTAATAGCCATTCAGGTTTCCTGCAATTTGATATTTGACTGTTAATTGCAACATGAGTCTCATGAGGGGGGTTTTAACTTTTGAATGTTTCTCTTTGCAGGTATGATTGTTACCTCTGCATTAATCATATGGAAGGGGTTGATAGTTTTCACGGGGAGCGAGTCACCAGTTGTAGTGGTTCTCTCTGGTAGCATGGAGCCTGGATTTAAAAGGGTTTGTTTACTCCCTACATAACATGGAAATAACCTTGGATGCTGTATGTTTTTATGATATTTACATGCTTGATGTTGACATTAGTAACTGTTTAACAAAACAATTTTCCTTTTATCTGTGGCTGGTTTGGGTTTCAGAAACTGCTGCACAAAGTAACATTTCCAGTTTTTATATGAATACTTCTCACTTGTCTTTAAGGTTCTACTAGTTTGTGTACGTTGAATGGCAGCATAGTTTCATTGTCCTTATTACCAGATTTTTTCCTTTCAAGATGAGTAAATTCTACAAAACTATCACATTCCTGTGCCAGTTATCACAAAATAACCACCTATAGTGCCTTGTTTCATAAAACTACCAAAACTTTGGGCTCCCTTCTCGCAAACTTACCACATTGTGGCCCTTGCTCTGAGAACCTTGACCCACTCGTCAGCATCACATAGTGAAGAAAATAAGTGGGCCCAATCTGTTGCACTATGTGATGCTCACCAGTAGGCCCAGGTGCTCAAAACATTTTTGGGGGCAAAGGTGGGGGTTTATTAGGAGGGAGTCTTAGCCTCTTAGGTATTGATAGTTTTGTGAAATGGGCACCATAAGTGGTAGGTTTGTGATAATTATTGGCAGTAATGTGGTAATTTTTTGAAATTAACCTTTTAAGATTTGTACCATAACTTGTTGATGATCTGCTATGGTATGTTACATTTTATCTACCACTTATTTTTAACTCCAGATCTAGTTGTATGAACGCTTTTGAAGTGCCAGTATCTTTCACACCGTTATGCCTTAATGATTAATTGTCTTGTTTTCAGGGTGATATCTTGTTTTTGCATATGAGCAAAGATCCTATTCGCACAGGAGAAATAGTTGTTTTCAATGTCGATGTGAGTCCTATTTATCCATGAATGAATTATTAGATGAATCGTGATTTTATTAAATCTCACTGTATTGTTTGCTCATAGAGTTATCTATTGAGTAATGCTCATTTGGCTGCTATTTATGTAGGGCCGTGAAATTCCAATTGTTCACCGTGTGATTAAGGTAGTACATTTTGAGTTCTTCACTTCAATTGATGCCATGTTAAACTAGATATTAGATGTTTGCTCTTTTTCCTGCTCACATTGAGTTTACTCTTCTCTCTGTATAGGTCCATGAACGTCAGGACACTGCAGAAGTGGACATCCTCACCAAAGGTATACCACTTGCTAAAGTTGTGTATTCATCATCAGGCTAACCCTAGAAGGGTAGCAATGTATATTGGTCATACATGGGCCTCGTGGGCCTAATACACTCATACTCTCATACTCCAACACCACTTGCAGTTTGAATGACTATAATTTATTTCCATTTGCTTTTTCTGAATATTACTACCACATGGTACTGTGTAATTCTGATAATAACCAACGCTTTGTGTATGATGTACTGTGGTTGTGATTGCAATGTTTCCTTTACCTTACAAACTCCATTTCAGGTGACAATAATTTTGGGGATGACCGACTATTATATGCACATGGGCAGCTTTGGCTCCAGCAACATCACATTATGGGACGTGCCGTGGGGTGAGTTCACCTTATATAGCACGCATCTGTCTTTTTGCCCACTGGGAAACAGTTCAGCTGACCTGATGTTTTCCAATGACAACAGCTACCTTCCATATGTTGGCTGGGTTACAATTATCATGACTGAGAAACCATTTATTAAGGTATGCTCATTCTCGTCTAAATATTGATTGGCTTGTTCTGTAATGAAACACTGACAAAACAAGAGCCACACAAACCAATAACGAGTCTAAGTACAGCCACGCAAACACGATGAAGAGCACAGTCCCATTGATCTGAGAATATTTCTGTCATTATTATGTGGATGAAACTCATCCATTCTTCTTTCTTGTGTAAATTAGGCAAGTGCACTGATTGTTTGCTTTCTAGATAATCTGGAGCATCCAGGAGTCCACAAATTGAGCATTAATTAATGTAGTCACTATCATTGGAAGCTCTGCTGATCTATGTTATCTTTGCTGCAGTACCTGCTGATTGGCGCACTGGGCTTGCTGGTCATAACGTCGAAAGATTAGAGATGTCAAACTTCAGTGCCATGTAGATTTTGCTCTTATGGTGCAACAGCGGAGATCAGTGGCTTTGCGGCGTTAAGAGAAGCCGTTCTGTTGCACCATGTGTCAAACGTGAAGAATTCTTTATCTACTATACTGTGAGGGCACCTGCCCACTAATTGGACAGTCCGTTCTCATCCAGCATCCATCTTTTTGTAGTTGTGACCTAGCTAATGAGTTGAATCAGTCGTTGGTGATTCTATTCGATGAAGATAACTCTTCATTGCAGGCTTGCAGGAAGCGCCCCTAGACTATTTGCAATGGGAGTAAAAATATAATCGGTCCTTAAACTTGAAACTTGACAGTGAGTGTCATTTGGGTCTCTAAAATTCCAGAATGCATAACCACGTACATGAATTAGACACATGCTATGTCATAAGGTCCAAAGGGATCCAGACTTCACCTTTTTGCTCAACTTTAAACTTGACATAAGGTGTCATCTAGGTCTCAAAACTTCTAAAATACACATCCATGTACATGAACTAAGTCCATGCTACATCACAGATCCAAACAAGGTCTAGGTTACACTTGTTTGCTGACACGGTGGTCCACGCTGGTACCAGTAAGGCCAGATACAGCTGCTACCATGCCTCGTCATGCGCCTATCGTGTGCCCGCTGGAGCTAGCCATGCCCCCGACGGTGTCTGAGCCTTGCCACACGCATGAGCTGGAAACTTGGTACTTGTAAAAAAAATTTGACAGAGCAACTATTCATTACTTACAAATTGAAATACTAGATCAAAGAACCTACCAAAATGCACAACAGTGGACCAAAACGTACCTACCAAAATGCGAATGTTGTTGATATTCTTGAGTTGCTTGTGCTCGTGCACACCCTTGTTACCGGTCCACCTAAAAACCTGTGTGCAACTTCTTTCTTTTCTAGTTTAATATTTAGCTTCTTCGTCGTTCGCTTCTCTTATAATCCGTCTTTTTCGGCTTGTTTTTCCAGCCGGAACAGTATTTTTCTCTCACAACAAATCAGCCGAAACAGTGTTTTGTCTTGTTTTTTCAACGAAGCTAACGGGGCCATAATCAGAGAGCCGCACAAGGCAAAGCAATCTCGGTTGTATAACCACGGTAAGTCATGTATCGAGTTCCATAAGAAGCGACTCTAAGCATGTGAGCTTGCACGAAATGGTCATCATCTAAGAACTGACGACCGCCTTTGATGTAAGTAACCATAGCATTATTTAGTAGACCAAGACCATGAGCAATTCTAGTAACAAGGGAAGTGCATTCTACACTGCCAACTCAAGCGAAAACACCCTTCCAATGATCATGAATAATAGCAACAACATGTGAAACACGAATTTTGTTTACCACGGTAAACAAGATTTTCGCGAGCATGCCTAATCGACACATATTTCATTACGCAGAAGTAGAAGTTTGAGTACAAGTGAGCCAACAATAATCCAGAGATTACCCCTGAACTCACGGAACAGTTAGAACAAGAAGAAAAAGCAGGGGATGAGACCCTCAACAGCTACCCCAAACATGCGGACAGAGCCCATTTGCTTCGCTAAAAAATAAGCTATTTATTACGAGAGAAAACACTGTTTCAGTTAAAAAACAAGAAAAAAAGTAGAGATTATAAGAGCAGCGAACATGGCGAGAGCCTGAGAAAAAATGAAGACGTCAACGCAACGGTTGTCCAACTAGTCCGGCATCCACAACAACCGTGGCAAAGCATCCACCGGTCGGGAGCCCTAAACGACCATGGCGGCGAAGCATCCACCATAGGGACCGTGGTCTCGACGGCAAAGTATCCAGAGACTGAAACGACGCTGGCAGCAAAGCATCCACCAGAGGAAAAACAACAACGGCCAAGCATCCGTAAGGAGAGATACGGCAGCGGCAAAGTATCCGCCCCAACAGCAGAACAACTGGCAGCAAAGCATCTGCCAGTGAAGGAGCCAACGACGGCCAAGCATCAGTCGGGAGAGAAACGATAGCGGCAAAGCATCCGCCGTAAACACTGAACGACGGGCAGCAAAGCATCTGCCAAGACAACCCAGACGACTGTAGGACCAACAGTTGCGAAGACGAATGATAAAAGCACATAGGCACAACTCAGGGAGCTCCAACAAGGACCGCCGACGAGTCGAGGACCAACAAGGACAGGCACCGTGCCGAGGTCGCGGACGGCGAAGACGACAACCCTGCCGGGCGATGACAGGTGGCCACAGAGATGAATACGCACGACCGGAGTAGTGGTTCCCACAGCGACGCCTCCAGGAAGGAACATGACGCCAAGAGCGCCATCGCCGCTAGCACCGGCAAGCAGCCGAGCAAGGTTTTGACCTAGGAACCACCACCATCGCAGCACCAGGCCAGGCTCCTTCACCATGGCCCACGCCCTGGCCGCATCTCGGCCTCGCCTCCTTGGCCCACGCCCTGCCGGCTCCGACGCCCTGGCCACAGGAGGCAGCGCTGGGGAGATCCTTGGCCGACGCCCTGGCCGTATCTCGGCCGCGCGCAGGGGCCGCGCCCAGGCCGCCACCATCATCCGGGCAGGGGCCTGCCAGCCACGCACGACGCGGCCACCAGCCAGCCTGCTCGCCCCCCGGACAGGCACAGGCAACGCGGAGACGGCGGGGACCGGGGAAGCGCGGGACGCTGGATCCCAGCATGGAGGCACCGGATCCAGCGTGGGAGAGCGCGGATCTGGCGCGCCGCCGACTAACCTCAACGCCGGCCGCCATGGGAGCTCCACAAAGCTTGGGGAAGAAAAGGGGTTGGGGAGAGCCGCAGCAGTGACCTTTTGGGCACCACCGCTGGCCGCCGCCGTCGCTTGTCGGCGAGTAGCGGCGGCGGCCGGATGGGCAGTTAGGGCGGGACCCTCGGTGACGGCGGCCGGGCGCCCCCCTTGTCGCCCGAGACGACGCGGGGCGGCTCTGGCTTGGATGCCGTCGTGAGCTCCGTACAAGATTTTCAACTCATCGTTACGAATAGTTCTAGGGAAAATTTACCTGAAAATATCATTCCATCACGTTATGTCACGTTTGGAGGTAACGGCGTCGACTTCCACCCGCTGGGAGCCTGGGGCGCTCCTTCTCCCTCCTCCATCCATCTACTGCTCACCGGCCGAACTGCTTGCAGACAACCAACATGTGAGAGACTGCATGGCGCTTGCTTACCATCACCATTTGCTAGCTATCTACGAGCAGAGCATAGCAGCGGCGATGCTGCTAGTGGTGCTGTGCGCGACCGTGTTGTCGCGGTCCAGGAGCGGCGCCACCGACCTCGCCGCGCTGCACGGGTTCTACGTCAGACAATGGGTGATGTGCGGCGAGGCCGAGGCTGCGGTCGCCATCGTCGGGCTGGCGCTGCCCAACCGGACGCTGCGGGGGCAGGTGGTCGCGTCACTCCCCAGCCTCGCCGCACTCCGGGTGCTCAACCTCGCCGGCAACGTGATCCGTGGCGCGCTGCCCGCGGGGCTGCTCCGGCTCCGGACGACCGGACCATCGAGGTGCTCGACGTTGGCGCCAACGTGCTCGCGCGGTGGGCTGGCCAGACCGCCAGAGTCCCGGAACGGCGGTGATCAACCTCCTAGTGCTTCGCGTGTTCAACTTCTCGTCTCCGGCGTGTTCCCTCTCGGGTTCAAGAAACACCGGTCACTCGCCGAGCTCTCCCTCAATCCAGTCCCTGTCGGCCGCCGCCGCCGCGAGCATGAGCAGCAGCAGCTCACAAGACGACAGCGACTTCAATGAGCAATTTTCCCTGCGAATTACCGGCCTCGGCACGAACTCTGACGAGCTGAGGCAAACCGAGGCGTGGCTGGTGTGGTTCGCGAGCGGGTGCCCTAACCTAAGATTCAAGTTCGAAGGCATCGTGGATGGTCCAGACTCCAGACAGTGGCTGCCATGAACGCATCAAGGTCGACAGCGACGCGACCGTGGTTGTCAACCTGGTGTTCCCGGCAGCACAGAGATCGATAACGAGCACAAGAGAAAAAGCGTCCAGCGCGTTGGCTCGCATCCGCTCCCATCAGCGTGCTCTTGGTAGAAAGACGGCGCCGCCGGCGGCGGCAATGCCACGTCGAGAGGACACTCAGGCTTGCCTCCGGTACTTCGCCGTGGTGTTCGACTCGCTGCGAGTGCCTCCCCGCCAACAGCGCTGAGAGGCTTGCCATCTAGAGGAACCACCTGGGCATGGAGATCAGCGACGCCATGGCTTCTTTTTTTGTTTTTATCTTTTCAATTCAAGTTGCTTGGATGTGGATGGAGCTGACGACGTTAGTTCCGAATGTGACGGAATGCTATTGTCAGGTAAAGTTTCCATCTTTCGATGGTATTTCACGTAACAGAGCTCTTTCGGTGGTATTTTTTTATTTTTGCAATCTTTCAATGCTATAGAACCAATTTTCCCATAGTTCTAACATCGGCTCTAGGATATATGGTCATAACAACCCAACGATGCATGAAAGAAGAGTGGGATTATGAATATCATTAGTTCTAGGAGCATGAAAAGTACTTTGTCTAGTTATTTCTTTCCAAAATTCTTCATGATCAAAAGCATTGTCCACACTATTGAGCAATTTTTACTGAAGCTGAGGGGACACAAAGATCTTTCCATGAGAGGGCTGCAGCTTTTGTCTCTCCTTCACGTGTCTCCAACAATTGCAGACTTACAGAACTAGATCTCAATCACACCACACCAGTACACCACACTACAACAAGCCGCAAGAATGGTACTCGCCGATCCTGCGCTTGCACTTTCATTTGCCTTGACATCTCTGGGACGGGGACGGGAGAACATATCCCTTGGACCTACAAAGAGTCAAAGACATGCGGTTTGTGGCTTCACTCATCAGCAAAAGACAGGAAATAAAAATTCAGCACCGACGACGCCCAACCGCCATCCAACGCCCGCACACTGTCAAGAATGCGCCGTGCATCTAATTAGTCGAATTTTAACACAGCTAGCCGGCCCGGGGCGATGAATTCGCTTAAACTTATTAA